CGATGTGGATCCTAGTTTCTACTTTCGATCATATGGTCTCCGATTTGGAATCAGTCTCTTCCGAAGTTAATGCCCATGCTGACCAGTGTGATGACGTACCCACAATCATTGTGTAGTATTGTGACCGTCTCGAGGGAGACCAGATGAAGATGGGTCAGATCGTTGTCCCTGCGTTGTGATAGCAGCGCTCTGATGGCTGACGGTCATTAGCCCGTTCTTGCGTATTGAAAACCCGGACGCATGCAGCCGAAGAGGACAGGCGAATGACTTGCATTGTTAGCGGCGTGCTTTAGCTGCGGGGTCACTTCCCGTCTCATTCGTCAGCGACGCAGACAACAGTTGCAGATGGCTGCATGTGCAGCAAGTGTTAATCCATGCTCAAAATACTTCTGGTCTGGAGCTGAGCGATTCGCGAGACTAGCATCTACGAGTCTATCGACGGCGTGCGAGAAAGCGAACGATGGTCCTATTTGACACCCGTCATGACGTCGTCTCTGGCACTCGCGTGAGTATAATATCAGGAGATGATCAGACGTGTCTTTGCCTTGGGAGTCACCCGTATCCACTGCAAATGACCTGGGATGAAGTTTGTTGAATGCACAGTGCGACTCCTGCATGTTTGTGGCGGGTTGGACATTGCGCATGCCGGCCTCGTTCCGAAGTTCCGCCTGGGATGCTAGCACGACTTCATTCGCAGCCTTGTACCAAGACTCCATGGTTGGTATTCTCGCATGTGTGATGGATCTGTGGAGGAGTGCCTCACAGCGTCTTTGTAGATCTTCTGTCTCCCCAAGCATTTGCCTTTTCCCTTGCCATGGCAAAAGCATGACTCTGTAGGTTTCCCAGCGGATGCATGTGCGGGCGGGTGATCGACTAATTTCGAATGTACGGAACTGTTTGTAGCCGTCGCCTGCGAACACGTATGCGGCGGGGCCTGCTTGACTCTTCCAAGATTGATATGCAGTACAAGTTGCATGCCATGGGCACAGACTAGCGAACCACACCAAAACAAAACCAGTAGGCGGAAACGATGTGGGTATAGAGATGCTTCTAGTGGCATATAGTGCTGCGAGAGGCTTGGTGGAATGTTTCGGACTTGGAAGCTGAGTCCCGTAGCCGCAGGTATCATGCCCGGGCATCGTTCCTTTGGCAGCAGCAGCCTATATCGGAGCGAGTACTACAATCGGTCGTAGGATAGTATATGTCTTCTGCTGGGCCCTGGAATCATGAGGCTCACAATCAAAAGTGAGAGTACGGTCACGTGAGTTGGCAAGAGGCGCGCGGATCATATGTTTCGCCAGCTCCGACGCAGGCGCGCTTTGACGCGTTCGGACTCACTGCATCCAGCATCTGTCAAGGAAACATCACGACTTCACTATTCCATCCAGCGCGCGTCCACTATGCGCTTAGAGCCTGAGACTCGCCTGAATTATATTGAATAGCGACTGCTCCTATGTTCAACTTCACTCCTCTTCTAGGCGCGCAGAGCTCCTCGCCAGCGTCGCAGTCATTGCTAGAATTCGATGGGGGCATACAGATCTTGATCGATGTTGGTTGGGACGAGGATTTCAGCGTAGAGAAACTCAAGGAGATTGAGAGGTAGGTGCATAATCTGGCCGCGATTGCAATGTGGATGCCAGTCGAAGTGTGGGCTGTCCCTGGGAAACTGGCAGCAGGTAGCAAAGTCGCTAGGTAGCAGCAATACACTATACATACACGACGACTAATCTCGACACTCCAGACATGTCCCCACCCTGTCCTTCATCCTGCTTACTCACGCGACCACTGCGCATCTCGGCGCCTACGTACACTGTTGCAAGAACTTTCCTCTGTTCACGCGCATACCTGTCTACGCGACAAACCCCGTCATATCCCTCGGCCGCACGCTGTTACAAGACTTGTACGAATCCACGCCGCTTGCATCGTCCATCATCCCCACCGAAGCTCTCAGCGAGTCTGCCTACTCCTTCTCCTCGGCACTCAAGGGCGGCAAGAACCCCAACATCCTTCTCCAAGCGCCCACGTCGCAGGAGATTGCCGACTACTTCGCCCGCATCAACCCCCTCCGATACTCGCAACCGCATCAGCCCATCCCTTCGCCGCACTCGCCTCCACTCAATGGTCTCACCATCACTGCATACAGCGCTGGACACACGCTGGGAGGTTCAATATGGCACATACAACATGGCATGGAGTCGGTCGTCTATGCCGTCGACTGGAACCAGGCCAGGGAACACGTCCTTTCAGGAGCTGCTTGGCTGGGAGGACCCGGCACTGGCGGCGCTGAAGTCTTGGAACAGCTGCGTCGTCCAACTGCCTTGATCTGCAGCAGCAAGAACACCAGTATGGTAAAGGTGGCCAGGTCGCCTAACAAGCGAGATGAAGCTCTCCTCGAGATGATTCAGGATACCGTGGCCAGGGGCGGAACCGTCTTGATTCCATCAGATTCAAGTGCGCGTATACTTGAGCTGGCATATCTGCTTGAGGAGACGTGGGAGCGCGAGGCAGCAGACGCCGAAGGCGGCGGTGCGCTACGAAGTGCAAAGGTCTATCTTGCAAGTCGGACTGGTGGTGCAACGATGCGCTATGTACGGAGTATGTTGGAATGGATGGAGGAGGGCATTGTGAAGGAGTTTGAAGCCAGTGCTGCCGACCAAGACCGAAGGAACAAAAATGGAAAAGAAGAAGACCGAGCCAGAGTCCCGTTCGACTTCAAGCACATAACGTTGGTCGAGCGCAAGACACGTGTAGCTCGTATGCTGGGCGCAGCTGGACCGCGAGTGATATTAGCAAGCGATGCGACGCTCGAGTGGGGATTCTCCAAAGATGCTCTTCGAAGCCTGGCATCTGATGAGAAGAACTTGGTCATACTCACAGAAAGAGCTGGTCAGCTGGGCGCACAAAAGAAAGGTCTCGGTCGATACCTCTGGGAGTTGTGGAACCAGCGCAATGCATCACCGGGACATGATGCTCCTTCTATCAGTGTGATAGACGCCGCAGGCGATCAAGCACCATTCAGCACGGTACGCGCAGTCGCACTCGAAGGTGATGAAGTCCCGCTTTATCAGCAGTTCCTTGCCGGCCAGAGACAACGCCAGACCACCATGGGCGGCGATAACGCAGCAATGCTCGAAACGTCTGCCGACATCGTTGATGATCGATCATCAACTGAGTCAGAGAGTTCGGAAGGCTCTGGTGACGGATATCGAGGGAAAGCGCTCAATGCAACCGTTGCCCTACAACACGCGCGAAACAAACTTGGTATGACAGACGCAGAGTTGGGCGTAAATGTACTCATACGTCGGAAGAACGTTTATGACTACGAAGTGCAGGGCAAGAAAGGGAAAGAGAAGATGTTTCCGTTCCAGGCCAAGAAGCGTCGCGCGGACGACTTTGGTGATCTTATTCGACCCGAAGACTTCGCTCGTGCCGAGGAGGAGGACAATACTGCCGGAGAAGCTCTTCGTGGTGAAGGAACAAAGAAGGAGAATGCTGTTGGTCAGAAGAGGAGATGGGATGATTTATTAAACAGCACCGACACCAATAAATCCAACGCCAACCAAAAGCGCCGGAAAGACAAGGAGGTTCGAGAAGGCGAGGACGAAGAATCGGACAGTGAACCAGAAGACGATCCAGACAAGGTGGAGGGCCCATCGAAAGTTATCATTGAGTCGGAAACTCTGGAAATCCGGTGTCGAATTGCCTTTGTCGACTTCTCGGGTCTGCACGATCGCCGCACGATCCAGCAGCTTATCCCGCTTATCAAACCTCGCAAGCTAATCTTCGTGGGTGGCGAGGAAGGCGAAACTCTTGAGCTCGCCGAAATCAGTCGAATAGCACTTAATGCGAACACCGATTCTGCCAACGCCATCGATGTCTTCACACCCGCTGTCGGTATCATGATTGACGCCAGTGTCGACACGAATGCCTGGAGTGTCAAGCTCAGTCGTAGCATGGTGCGCAACCTGCGCTGGCAGAATGTTCGTGGCATGGGCGTTGTGGCTATCACCGGCCGCCTCGCAGCTGCAAGCCTTGAGCCCAAGGTTGAGGAAGAAGCGGATACGCCAGCGAAGAAGAAAGCTCGACTCGATGCTCCCGCCGTCCCCGTGTCTAGCGATAAAAACGATGACACACCCGTCCTTGACGTCGTTCCTACTAACATGGCCACTGCCGTTCGATCCGTCGCGCAACCCTTCCATGTCGGTGATCTTCGTCTTGCCGATCTGAGGAAGCTCATGAATGCCAATGGCATGCAAGCCGAGTTCAGAGGCGAAGGTGTACTTGTCATCAACGGTACGGTGGCTGTGAGGAAGACGGCTACTGGTCAGATTGAGATTGACGGAGGGGCTTATGGTAATCTGGATCCAAGGAATAATGACGCTGCAACGTTCTCTAGGGTCAGGAGGCAGATCTACGAGGGTTTGGCTGTAGTCGCGGGAGGTTGAACGTTCAGGGATACGACTTGGGTATTATGATGGGTGTTCGGTTCTTGCGTTACATTCCTCTACTGCTATGAGACGGAGGTGAAGGAAACTTTATGAACAACCAAAGTATACATTGCGACAATCAAGATAACCATTAGGTATTAGTTCTGTGCATGGTATTCTTCATTAATCGATCGAGTCTGTGGGCGGTTTTCATATGATCTATTGCATGCCATCGTACTGGTCCAAATATGTGCAGATGCATGCGTATCAACACAACAACATCCCAAAGCCTGTAGGGCTAGGCGAGTGAGGACTTCCTACCGGTAAATCGACCTCCTATCCAGAGCAAGGCTTCGCGCAAGTTATTCTGACACAAAGGAAAAGACTAGCTCGCGAACCCTTTACTTCTGGTAGGCCCACAAAAAGAGGGGCATGCAAGGCACACAACTACGACGCAACTGCAACCACGTCCGAATCCAGCCTTTACGTTTCCGAGGACTCGTAGCCTTTGTTGTTTGCTAATTTTGTCAGCCTACTACAACGCGCACAAAGCCAAGATCAACCAGATACACGATGCCCTCCAGTTCTGAGGAGGCGCAAGCCCTCGGTCACGCAGAGTTTTGGGACGAACGGTATGCAAAGGCTGACAGCGACAAGCCAACGCACGAATGGTTCCGCGCATTTGATGAGCTAGAGCCCTTTTTCAAGAAGCATTTGTTCGATAAGGAGAGGGATGAGGGAAAGAATGCCAAAATTCTTCACTTGGGGAGCGGGGACAGCGTAGGTTCTCCATTCAAGTTTGAAAAGCTGTAGGCTGCACGATAATGTGGACGCAAATATTACCATTCTCTCGGTTCGTATATTATGAACTGAACTACGGGGACTCGTGTCATCTTCGCAGCTACGTCTTCATAGGGCTGACTTATTGCTAGACGGTCCCATACGATCTTTTAGAGCGAGGCTATACGAATCAGCTCTGCATTGACTTTTCCGCGGTAGTGGTCGATTTGATGAAATCACGACATCCAGATAAAAGTCAGGTTGAATGGAGAGTCGGCGATGTCCGGGATATGAAAGACATCGACAGCAAGTCCGTAGATGTCGCCTTTGACAAAGGCACTCTAGATGCAATGATCTACGGAAGTCCATGGAGTCCGCCCGAAGAGGTTATGGACAACAGTGGAAGGTATATCAGTGAGGTGAGTGTATAACAAAAGCCCGGGCATACGGGCCTGAACACATGCTGATTTTGACAAGGTCTGGCGCGTCTTGAAAGACGACGGCGTGTTTCTTTATATTACCTATCGACAACCGCACTTTGTCAAACCGATCCTCAATCGCAAGAATGAGTGGGATCTAGACATGGAAATCATGGGCGGAGGCGACAGTTTCCAGTACTTTGGCTTCATTCTCAAGAAGAACACCTCAGGCGCGAACTGAAAACACAATCGTCGATACTGTAACTGGTAACGACACAAGTACGTGAAAGAGGCGTTGGGCGTATCTGAACAATCACGACAGCAGTGTCTCTTGGGTCGAAGTATAGGAATTTCAATTATTACAAAAACGTATTCCAAGAGAGGTACCTCGGTATACACCACCCCATTCTTATCAGCGCACTGACATAAGAAGCAGTGAGTACGTCTAGTGTTCAAGCCTCTAGGATGTAGTCGACTCCTCTGTAGTGCAACGAAACATGGGGAATGAGGGCAAGACGAGATCCGCTCATCGCACTGTCCATCTCTTTTCTCTTCCAAACTCTGACGCCTCTCAACTACACAGAGGACACCGCACTGTCTTATGAGACACAACTAATAATTTGTCCTTAGTTCCCAGGGTGAACACAATCGAAGTGGAACCTTCGAAGGCATTACACCGTGGTGCACGACACAGTCGATTTTCCATCTTTGAATCCCGGCGTGCATACAATTGGTGCACTGCTTTCGAAAACCAGCTCAACACTGCCGTTCTTCGCCCCTGTGAATTGTATGTTGGCAGAAACGTTCGCCGAGTTCAAGCCAAGACCAGCCCCTACTGTGAGGACTTCGGGGGTTATGTTGAAGCCACCGCCTAGACCGAAGTCACTGGACCCTGCTGTAAGCCCGCCTATATCGCGCACGTTAGCTAGAGCGAATTGGAAGGCAATGCGAACAACGTACCTCCGTATGATACGCCGGCTTGCCAGTTAATGCCGCAGCCTACGCCGATGTCGCCAAATGGTGTAAGACTACCCGCAGCTGCGACATTGCCGACTCCGCTGGTCGATGTGACGTTTTTGTCTAGGCTCGTAATGTCAACGTCGTTGGCTCTCCGTTGTTGGTTTGGCATTGCCGACGCTAGCATTTGCATGGCAAGAAAAGATACGGCGAGTTTAGTAAACATTTTGTCGATGACGTTGCACTACAAAGTGCTTGCAAAGAAAGAGAGCCGTTGGATGTTTATAAAGAGGACTGTCGCCAGGCAAGGCTGTGGAAGGTAAACAAGGTTCTATTTGTAGTCGGTGCATATCATGGTTTGATGATCAGGGGCATTGGCATCGTCTCCAGCATCATTGAGGCTATTCGCCAGCTCAGTGCTTCTGATCCAAGTCTTTCTCCATTCCTACTGTGCTACAGCATGTTCCGGATGATCCGGTAATTGCGATGTCGAGAAAGAACGACCATTCGGACCGGACCCAAGCCCCCTATCGAGCATCGTAGGCCGTATACCGCGTTAGTAAGACTACTAGGCCCCACATGAATCTGGAAACTTTAATTTGACCGCCGCGCTTACGCATACTATACAGATTCTCCTGCGAACAGTTTGGAGGTTTCTACTAGATGTAGTGCGAAAATGCAAGCTGAGTTGAGTCTAAACATCATGACTTCGGCGGGATCTCGGAACTTTTCTCAGAACCGTTGGGCTGTACTATAGAATCTCACGGGTCCACCCTTGCCGTCAGCACCGCTGACGTAGATCACAGTTCAAACACGGTAGACTAGCTGTGTCAGATTGTGCACAGCCAGATACCGCCACCGTTATATAGGGAATCCCTTCTACTGAGATTGAGCAACGTCCGTCTTGTATCCCACATCGTCAAAGATGCTTACCCAATTAGCTCTTGGCCTGCTCTTAGGAGTAGTGCATTCAGTCGTTGGCAAAGAGTCGTACGCATCCTATCCGACATCGAAGAACGAATCGCATCTCCATACTCATGATGGAGGGTTCACCCCAGACTTCTATCTCTCTGTCACATACGAAAACCACACTGTAGCATGCCAGCATCGCATGTCTGCACTGGTCAATGGCACATCTCCTGGACCTACATTACGTCTCCCAGCAGGAAAGACTAGTTGGGTGCGCGTCTGCAACGATATGGAGAAGTTCAATACAACCATGGTATGATTAACTTCAGACGCTGATGCCTGAGATGACTGCGTCTGACACATATCAGCATTGGCACGGCCTTACCCAACGCACAGCACCTTTCAGTGATGGCTCGCCAGTCAGTCAATGGCCGATTGCACCCAAAAGATGCTTCGACTATGAGATTCACCCTGAATTTGAGGATGCAGGAACCTACTTCTACCATTCTCATATTGGGTTTCAGGCTATCTCTGCCGCTGGGCCGCTGATTATTGATGACTTTGGCATTCCTCCATTCGAGTACGATGAAGAGCGTATTGTCTTCCTCCAGGACTACTTCAACAAGACTGACGAGACGATGGAGCACGGACTCGTTGCGACCCCATTTGTTTGGACTGGCGAGACAAACGCAGTACTTTTGAATGGCATCGGCGTAGCTATTGGTGAAACAGCTGGCCAGGGCAATTGCCAACTGCCGGTGATTGATGTGGAGCCCGGAAAGACGTATCGCATGCGCTTTGTTGGTGCGACAGCCATATCCATGGTCTCATTCGGTATCGAGGGCCACTCCGAGCTCGATGTGATCGAGGCAGATGGCCATTATACGAAGCCGTACACTACAGACCATATGATGCTTTCGTCTGGACAACGTTTCGATGCACTTCTTAAGACGAAAACGGTTGAAGAGCTCGGAAATCAGACCGACTACATCATCCAGTTTGAGACCAAAGATCGGCCTGCCATTTATACCGGATTCGGTATCCTGCGCTACCCGAGCAATGGACCAAAGATCACTTCTGCGCCTACAGTAGCCCCTCTAACCCTTACCAACGCCACCTACGACTTCCTTGAATATGCTCTCGAGCCATTGGTACCCAACAACTTTCCTCATGCCTCCGAGGTGACCCGTCGCGTTCACGTGAGCAACGTGCAACTCAGGCAGTCCACCACCATCTGGCAGCTCGATGGCCTGAACTGGACCGAAACAAATCCGGCCAATAGTCCCCCATACCTTGTCGACATTTACAAGAATGGCCCTGCGGCGATGCCAAACTACACCGCAGCCATGGAGAATGGCGGCTGGGACCCTTACACGCTGACTTGGCCTGCCAAACTCGGTGAAGTTATCGAGATTATCTTGGAAAACACGGGTAGTCTCGTGGACAACAACGGCGGCTTCGACTTCCATCCCTTTCACCTGCACGGTGCCCACTTCTACGACTGCGGAAGTGGAAATGGGACTTATGATCCTGTTGAGAACGAGAAGAAGCTTGCAAATTACAATCCCGTGCAGCGGGATACGACGAACCTGTACCGTTATCGTTCCAAGGGTACGGCAGGAGACGACGAGGGTTGGCGTTGCTGGAGGTTGCGTGTCCAGGACGCAGGATGCTGGATGCTTCATTGTCATGTGCTTCAGCATATGATCATGGGAATGCAAAGTGTATGGATTATGGGTGAATGGGAAGATATTGCGCGGATTCCGTACTCGGGTGCGCAGGGATATCTGGACTTTGGGGGTACAGCCTATGGAGGACAGGATATCTCGCCTGTTGCCTACCACTGGAACGAGTAAACTGCCCAAGCTAGAGTTCTGCTTCTTCTTAATCTTCTTCTCTTTGGCCTTTAGAATTCATTCTCCTTGCTCTTCTACCGATCAATTCTATCTTGAATTGTGGGTGCTATACTTGTCCCCATTTCTCCACACAGCTGAATTTGTAGATTACATATGGAAGATAGCCTAACCCTCTTTCTCTCTGAGGCCGCTATCATGAGCCAGAACCAGAATCCGAGTCGGAGCTGTTTGTTGACTCTAGCACATTTCCACCTAGTAAGAGAGAAAAACGTTAGTTTAATGACAACAAGATCATCCTTGCGTAATCAAGGTGCGAGGAAGCAGAGCGTTCAGCTGGATCACACAAGTGTGAACAGGGAAGTAGTCCGAAGCTCTCCCGATACAGTGCCAGGTGCTTATGCTGGGGCTTTAGTGTGGAACGCCAGAACACCCGATCGGTGATTGGGTTTCACATCTCCGGTCCCCTCGTCGACTTTGCTATATATCTTAACAACACCCTTTTGCTTTTACGCACGACTATGGTACTTTGAAAACTAGTTCTCCCACCAAGTTCTTTGTCTGTTCTGATGCTGTTTCTGGTTCACCGTTATCGTTCTCTTTACGTTCTTCTGTTTTCTGCAGTGTGACATCTCAATACGGTAAAATTAGGGACTTTTGTGGTTGAACAACCAGAACAACATGAGGCTTTTCGTCCGCTCAGCCATATACAAACAGAACATCTGCAGATCAGTAGTTAAGAGGGCGATCACAAGCTGATCCCCACTGTTGCATGTTTATGTCTCGGCTCTTGACATGAGCATGGAGGAGCTACTTGCCCTGTTGCTTTCGTTCTTGCCTCGCAGCAGTACCTCATTGATGGGCTTAGAAGAAGATATCACACTGGTAGCAAATCACTAGAGATGAGGACTAGTTGAGCCTTGCGGTTGAATCTCTCTTTCGTACTTTTCTACAGTACATGTACACTGGGACCGCGACAATTCCCAACGATAAGCTCGGGAGGCTGATTTGCACCGCTCGTCTCGATGCCTCGCAGCAGCCTGTAGCAAACAGAGAAGTAGTGAGAGAATGCGCTGCGATTTATGACCAAGCTCTCTGCGGTCGGTATCGAGATGGGCGTATGTTCGGGTGACATGCCTTTGGTGTGAAGCCATGGATGTTAAGACCTTTGTTATGATGCTTATCCACGCCACTGCTGCGCGGCCGTCCCAGGGCCGCTAGCTTATACTGGAGGAGCAACTGAGTTGGCCTGGAAGCTGGTATAGCTATCGATAGAGTAGCCTGCAGCCTTTCCTTCAAGTCTCACCCTTCTTCTCTCCTTGTGCATCAAAGCCGAGGCTTTCTAATTGACGTATCAGCTCGTTGATTTTGATGACTTTCTCGAACTGCTCTGGGAGCAGCTTGTCGCCCTTGTCTTTCTTGTCCTTCAATTCGCGCGCCTGTCTTAACTTCTTCGTAAGCTTCTTCGCTTCCTTCTCTTTCTCGACCTCGGGGTCGACAACCTTGTCTGCCTCAGGCTTCGCATTCTCCTTCGCCTTGACCTCCACCGGCGCTTTCTTTTCCTTCACGTCGGCAGAGGCTCCTTTGCCCTCGTCTTTTCCATCATCCGCTGCGGCTGCAGCCTTTTTTCTAGCTTCCCTCCGTTTGGCATTCTTATTGGCAGCAGGACTCGATGTGCTAGGATTCTCCTCCTTCTTTACCGCTTCTGCACCCGGCACTCCTGTCTTGCCTCTGTTGCGGAAACCCTCGGCGGTGCGGTTCTTGTAAAGTTCAACATCCTCTGGTGGGCGGTAGCCTGGGCGAACGCGAATCTCTTTGCGCAGGGAGCCGTCGGGGCGGACGGATGCGGGTATGTGACGTTCGCCGGTAGCGGAGGTGGTGATGCCGGCTTTGGAGATTGCAGGAGTTTCTACGGAGGGCATCGTGCTGGTAGCGCTTGCCGTGAGGTGGATTGGGGGTAGGATGCGCCGGAGGACGTTAGGTAGTCACGACAGGCCAGGACGAACCAATCGTTCTAGTGAGACGTCGCCAAGTCGTTGCAGGCGTCGTCCAACAAAGGCGAAAAGTTAAGGCTTTGGGCTGTGGAGAGTGAATCGAATGTCGTGGTGGGGTTGGAGGTAAAGTTCACGTCAAAGCGGAAGGCACGACGCACCAATGAGCGCAGCGGAAATCCCCGTGACGCGAGAGCTTGAATCTTGTCGGCGAACCTCAACCTTTGACACCGTCAGCGAAGCACCTCCACATCACCCTCCACAGTCTACCCAGCCCTCTCGACACGTTCAAAATGTCTGGCGTAAGTGAATTGACCGGCCGACACAACTGAAGGCGCGCTAACGATTCCACGCAGATGCTCGGCAACGTCTACAAGCAAGTCCCTCCTCGCGCATACCCTTCGATCTGACGAGACTAACCATCGGCTGCAGCGCGGTCCTCCGCAGCAACACTACCATGTTGTTCGCCGTCTTTGGCTCCGCCTTCGGTCTGCAACTGTAAGCCACAGCATCCGAAGTGGAACTCGGGGAAAGCAGGGGAGCTGACAGTAGCACAGCGCATTCGACACAGGCTCCGAGAAGATCTGGGACAGCATCAACCGCGGCGTATGTCAGGCTGCTACAATGGACGGGGCATCTGCTAACGTGCACCACAGCGTCAATGGAAGGACATCAAGCAGCGATACATGGAGGCCGCCGAGGACGACGAGTAGGATTTCAGCCATACCACAGTTCGAACATGAAATAGACTCTTCTTTACGGTTCTTTGGAGCGGACACTGTACATTGTGGTGTATACTACAGCATGCGAAATATCAAGGCGACATGTTGACCTTTCTCTATATATGGGATTCCGTGATGAGAGCCTCAGCAGCCAAGTGTCTGATGTAACAGCTCGTGTCGCAACGAGCACATTATTTGACTGTCAATGTGATTGTATTACTGGGCTTAATGGTGAGCCAGAAGCCGACATATCTTTTGAGCGGACAAGGCATATGCCGCTCATAGCCCACTTGGGCGGAGGACATTGGGTATAGAGAATGAGGTATCGAGGCAAATCCGCAAGCACATGACAGACTTTGTTACATTTAGTCCCATTGATGGCTCCGTAAATATGTCAGGCGACGTATGCCAACGAGTTCCTGCGCGAAAGTAATAGTTAACCTCGACCGTGGCTGCTTGGTGGCGTCGCGCATGCCTGCCTCGGGGGTCCGCGCTACTTCACGAGGTATGACATAGCGCGAATCTGCTTCTCTCCATTACCACGCAACTCCAGGCTCCGTACAAGCACACGACTCTCACCCTGGTGGCTGGTCCACGCAACCGCTACCAACAAACAATCCTGCCCTTCAAATCACCCTTGTTTACCACCCCGCTTGCCGTCTTCCACCCCCACCATCCCGCCGCGAAAGCTGCACAATGTACATGTCCTTGCACGAGCAGGAACTATGTCGACAGCTGCGCGAACTACCACGACGACACAACTACCGATTCGAGCTGGCTGCTGACCGAGAGCTGCGCGAAATCCTCTTCCGATCCCTCGCTGGCCGCGACGACTTCTTATCCTACTTCTTCCCTAATGGACTCCCGACGGACGAAGAGAAGCCATGGAGCCTGCGCGACGCCCAGGGTGCAGTAGAGGGTGCAGAGTATACGGCAGCGGCAAGAGGAAAGCCTTGTGGACACATATTCAAGAATGGCGAGGCTACATATCGGTGTAAAACTTGCAGCGCAGACGACACTTGCGTGCTATGCGCCCGCTGCTTCGATGCATCTGATCACGAGGGACATCAGGTCTTTGTCAGTGTGTCGCCAGGAAACTCTGGCTGCTGCGACTGTGGAGACGACGAGGCCTGGATACGACCAGTGCACTGCAACATACACTCAATAGACCCTGAGCGCGAGTCCAAGGCGGCAGGCAAGGCAAGGCAAGGTTCCATGCTGCCCGACGAACTCGTAGAAACCATCCGCACCACTATCGCACGAACACTCGACTACCTCATCGACGTCTTTTCCTGCTCACCGGAACAATTGCGCCTGCTCAAGACCGAAGAGTCCATCCGCCAGGACGAGCGCAACTCGCGCCTTACCTCCCGATGGTACGAGGCGGGAGACGAGTCAGAGGAGTGCGATGAGTTTTGTCTCGTACTGTGGAACGATGAGAAGCATACGGTCAACGACGTCCGGGACCAGGTCGCTCGCGCGTGCAAACAAAAGCTCGCCTTTGGCCTAGCAAAGGCCTACGAGATCAACGACGTGGGGCGCAGTGCTATTGTCTATCGGACGGACTTGAACGACCTCCTTCGCATGGCCAAGATCATCGAGGAGATCAAGCTCACTGTGACCATCCGATCCGCGAGGGACACTTTCCGAGAACAGATGGGCGGTGTCCTGATTGAGTGGATACAGGATATTGCAGGCTGCAGCGTTGGAGAGGACAACCAGATACTCCGCCGTACCGTTTGTGAGGAACTCCTAAAGCCATGGCGTGTTGGTAGTGAGGCGTCAAATCAAGGCATTGGCAAGAACGGTCTTGACGATCACGAGATGGAGGACAAGGAAGCTGAGATGGACGGCTTCTTCAACGGCATGCTATTACAGCGACGAGCTCGTATTATACGGGTCCAGCGACAGCGTACCACCGATACCAACGATGACACCACTGCCTCGGATGACGACGACGATGACGAGGGCGGACCTGCAGCCGAAACCCAAGATGATATGGATATCGATGAGGTTGGTGCTCAAGACAACGATGGTGATGTTGAAATGGGAGCGTACGAAAGCGCAGATGAGGCGCTCGAAGTGTCTGAAGCGACCATGGCAGGCTACCCTGCTCCTCCTCCACCGCCGCCGCCAGCACCTCAACATCTACAACGAGGTCAGCTCGAACAAAGTGTTACACCAGCCGAGTCAGATAGTGAGCCTATGGTTGGCGCGCCGTCTCTCAGTCATGTCGAGCCAATGCTACCAGTGCCCGAGACACCTCACACTCGGTCATTACCATTACGGCCAGCACGGCCAGCCAGATACTGGTTAGAGAAGCCTGAGAGCTACGGTAAGAAGCCTGGAACCCCACCTCATGAAGATCTCTGGCAACGTTTGAGGCTCGATCACCTGATATTGTATGATTTGCGTATGTGGAAGCAGCTGCGTATCGGTATACGCGACGTCTTCATCAGTACCGTGGTCACGATTCCTGAGTTCAAGCGCCTCTTGGGTCTACGGTTTGCTGGCGTCTACACTGCTCTGGCACAACTCTACCTCATTGCCGATCGTGAGCCTGATCACTCCATCATCAATCTTTCTCTGCAGATGTTGACCACTCCATCGATTACCTCCGAGGTTGTTGAACGTGGCAATTTTCTGACGAACCTTATGGCTATTCTCTACACCTTCTTGACCACCCGCCAGGTGGGCTATCCTTCAAATGTCGACCCCAAAGCGACACTAGCTTTCGAGCAAGGAGCTGTGACTAATCGTCGAATGTATCACTTCTTCCTCGATATGAAGTACCTACTGGGCTCCGAGTTTGTTCAAGAGAGGATTCGCGAAGAGCCACGTTATCTGCTACAGTTTCTAGACCTTGTAAAGCTCCATCAAGGTATCTGTCCAAACGTTCGTCAAGTAGGCGAGCATCTCGAATTTGAATCCGAGGCCTGGATTAGTGCTTCTCTAATTACCCGAGAAATCAACAAGCTGTGTAGACACTTTGCAGAGTCCTTCGCCTGGAGGCGCGACGAGGATCCAACAAACATCCAACGCGCTATACGTGCAGCCGCCAGGGTAGCCATCATTAATTCTCTAGGCGCTGAACGCAGACGTTTTGACCAGACCGAGCTCAAAGAAGAGACCAAGTTCAAGACATCACCCGTCTTTGAATTCGACGCCGAAAGTTCTACCTTTTTTGGTCCGTCCTACAAGATTGTCGATTATGTTGTTGCGGCACAGCCAATGAGCTTCCATCACGCCCTCCATTATACTCTGTCCTGGCTTATCGATCGAGCACGAAGCATGGATCGAGAGGATATCAAGCGGTTACTCTTGTTTTCTCCCAATGAACTACAAATGGACCTTGCTCTATCCATTCCTGTGCATCAACCCGAAGATTATTTACTGGCATTGTTCGACTTTCCGCTCCGGGTCTGCTCATGGCTAGCTCAGATGCGTGCAGGCATTTGGGTCCGAAACGGCATCACTCTACGACATCAGATGACACAGTATCGCAGTGTATCACAAAGAGACGTTTCGCACCAGCGAGACATCTTCCTCTTACAGTCCGCTCTCGTGTTATGCGATCCGTCAATCTTCCTGGCATCAATGATTGACCGATTCGGATTGAACGGCTGGATGACTGGCAAATACGAAGCTAGCCAACATGGATTCGAAGATAGTCAGGCTATTGATGTGGTTGAAGACTTTGTGCACTTACTGATCATCATTCTCAGTGAGCGCACGTCATTGATCCCCGCGGAGGATAACGACGAATCTCAACTGGCATCAATGCGCAAAGACATCGCTCATGTGCTGTGCTTCAAGCCACTTTCTTTCTCTGACATGACTGCACGCCTGTCAGACCGAATTCAAAACATGGACGAGTTCCCTGCTGTCTTGTCCGAGATGACCAAATTCCGTGCTCCGGAGGGCTTGTCCGACAGCGGGACGTTTGAATTGAAGGAACAGTACATTGATCTTGTAGATCCTTATCTTCATCAATACAATCGCAACCAAAGGGAGGAAGCAGAGAACATATACAAGACCTACATTGCCAAGAGAACCGGAAAGCAAGCTAGCGACATCGTCTACGAGCCGAAGCTCCGCCAAATCCCTTCAGGCCTGTTCCAAGATTTGTCGGCATTCACCCGAACGCCGCTCTTTACTCAAGTGATATACTACTTGCTTGGCTATGGTTTGAGAGCAACAGCAGCGACACCAGGCATTCCAGCCACCCGTGTCGAAACCTACATCCAATTTGTCCTACAACTTCTCCTCGTGGCTATTCTTGAGGACAAAACAGGGGAGCATGGATGGTCCGAAAAGACACCTGATTCTTTTGTCACTTCAGTCTTGACTAGAAACGCAAACATAGGCATATCAGGCCATCCGACTGTTCTATCGATCTTGAAGACCTTACAAGATGCCGAAGCTTTCAAATCATGTGAACCGAAAATAAGTCTGATCCTTCATAGGCTCAAGCAACGCCAACAAGACTCCTTCATTATCGCAGCGGCAGCAATCAACATGCCGGCTGATAGGATGGATACTGCCTCACCTGCACCGCAAGATAAAGAGCACAAGGAGCTCAAGAAGAAGCAGGCACTTGATCGACAGGCAAAGGTTATGGCAGCCTTCAAAGAACAACAAGGAAAGTTCCTGGCTAACCAGGAGTTTGACTGGGGCGAAGATGACTTCAGCGATCTAGAAGACGAGACGGGTGGACTGGTTGAACAGGAAAAGACACTCAAATATCCCTCGGGCACGTGTATTTTGTGTCAGGAAGATTGCAACGAACAAAGGCTATATGGTTCGTTCGGATACATTTCCGAAAGCAGGATCATGCGGCAAACTCCTCTGCACGATGAGGAGTGGGTGGACGAAGTCGTACAAACGCCGAGCAGTCTTGATCGGTCAGCTGAAGATATGCGACCCTTCGGCGTGGCTGGAAGGAACCGTCGCACCGTGGAGAAGGTCACCGCATCAGGCGAGCGCGTCAC